AGGGAGAGTGTATGCAATACATGCTAAACTGATTAGCAAAATATGCCAAAGGCATTGGTTTTTCCATAGAAAAGTGAGCATAAAGTCTTGATATTTGTTTCATTGTTGCGTAACAACAGGAATTTGAATGATCATTCAAATTTGGAAGAATTTGGTGATTATGGTATCCTGTGTTTTGAAACAACTAGCATTTTGAATCATATAATCCCAGGTATCTGTACAAGAAATTGAGTGTTATTTGCAACATACAGATTGCAAAACATTATACTATCTGGTAACAGTTCTGCACTTACTTCCTGAGGCTGGATAGAATGATATTGTAGGATTCCTACAAGGCTTTCGGTGGTCATTAGTGGGGACTGCTGGGAAGGACAGCTCTGCCCTTTCTGGAGCAGCATTGTTTAACAGATAGTGGAGGACCAGTGGCTACAACTATAAGTAGTAGAAGAAGCAGCCACCGTGGGAACCACCGTGAAATTAAGAGACATACCCTTTCCCTGTTCTGAGGCATTACGTAAGCTCCTTGGATTCTGTAACGCTCAAAGGAGAGGCTGCTAAAATATGACACCCTACCCTGATGAGGGGAACTTGGTGGTAGAATTCATTAAATTTCAGATCAACAAATTATCAGGATGCTTCTTGTTTCCAAGTGTTTCTGAGCAAATTCATACTCTCTATACAAGTTAAAATTTCTTTATGGAGAAGTTACACAATCCTTCTTTTTAGGGACAATAATATCACTGGGCATTCTTTTCCTTTTAGTTGTAAGATTTGTTTTAGGGAATTCTTTATAAAAAATTCATTATTTTGTATATGTCTGTTTTTGTAATTCACAAACACACTTCCATTAATTCTTATTGTAGTTTTCCAACTTTGTTAGCCCTCTCTTTGAACTTCTCTTTTAAAGCTAGCTTTGAACAACCCAAATTTTTGTCTTAATCTTTGTCTATTGTTCAGTAACAGGAGTCATTAATTCACTAATAATGTTGGAGAGGTGCTAAAGTTTTTCGAAAACTGCAGATTGACCTAATTAATGTCTTTTCTGAATTGTGCTAATTCCCCCATTAACCACTCTGGGGCCTCTCAAAACTCCCCAGTCTCTGCTGATGTCTTTTCAGAAGTGTTATGTGCTTAGAACAAGTTGTGATTGCCTTGATTATGTGCAAAATAGCAATGTTTTTAAAATGTTTGCATAAGCTTTTTCCTTCTTGTCATTTATTTCTTGGATTAATCATTTATAACTCTCACTTATTGCTTCGCCAACTTTTAATTGCCCCCATTCTGCTTTCCTGTACCCACCAAGTTCTCCCTGCCAACACCACCCAGAAGCTAATATTTCTTGGTGATTGACAGTGAAGAGGACTAAGCACAGACCTAGATCAGAACTATTCTCTTAACCACACTGATTAAAGATAATCATTTCACAGTGAGGAGAGAGTAGAGATTGGTGCCAGAATCACTGTATAGCCTTCACTGTCTGTTATTTAGAACCATGTATAGTGAACTGTACATAACATTCAATTGTTCTGTCATCTTCATGCTATAAATTCATAGAGTTCTGGTTACATGTGGATTCTTTAGGTCAGGTGACCTGACCGTGAGATTAATATTTGAGTGCGGAGAACGTAAGCATGAAGTAAGCAGCTGTTCTGGCAGAATGACGGCTTAAAGCTTATTTCTGGCTGAGTGGCTTCCATGCTTCACAAATACGTAGATAACACAACCCCCCATTTCTTATTTTGTTTTATAGTGTTGTGCTTAGTCACAAAATGGGGCTTAATTTTCAAATGCAGGACGTTTTCTCCTGCATGGGAGAGTCAATTCTGCATGAACAGCTAAGGACTAAAATGAAAAAGCAAAAGGAAACTTATAAAGCTAGTCCAACAAAAATTCAGAAGTCCACTTGGTGATTTATTTGGCAAGTAATCTAAATTTGGGGATGGTTATTAGCTCCTCATTCTATTTCCCACCCCCTGCCTCTTTGGTTTTCAGAGCACTCTAGTAAACTACATATTTCTGATGCTTTGACATCTGGCCTTGCTGACCCTGGAGAGACTGCCTTTCCCAGGGCTAGCCACTTCCCAGATATAGTAAATGACTGGCCTGTGAGCGTAACTTTCATATGCAAACCAACCAATTCAGAGCCCATTTGCCCAACTACCGTCTCTGGGACAATATTCCCCTCCCTAATCAATCCAAGCCCAGGTATCCTCAGCCCACAGCCTGCTGAAATTATTCGAATTAGCCAATCCTGAGCCTGCTTACCCTGCCTCACCTGTCCTTCTTGAGGAAACTATAATAAAGGCTCTTGCCCACATTTTCTCTTTGTTTCTTCTGCCTCCTGATCTACCCTGGTACTTACCCCACGTGACCCCCTGTGGTGTGATGTGCCCCTTCCTCTTGGGACTTGTGAATATAACAACTGTCTTTTCTTTTTCTTTTTTTTTTCGAGGAAGATTAGCCCTGAGCTAACATCTGCCAATCTTCCTCCTTTTTCTGAGGAAGACTGGCCCTGAGCTAACATCCGTGACCATCTTCCTCCATTTCATATGTGGGACGCCTACCGCAGCATGGTTTGTCACGCAGTGCCAAGTCTGCGCCTGGGATCCGAACCGGTGAACCCCAGGCTGCCAAAGCGGAATGTGCACACTTAACCGCTGCGCCACCGGGCTGGCCCCAACAACTGTCTTTTCAATGAGAGTCATCCCCTGATCTGTTGGCCTCATCCTATCTGACTAACAATAAAACCTACATTTTACAACAGACGCTTATTACCTTCAAACACAATATACGTCTTCTAATCATGTTAATTGTCCCTGTCCAAGTCCTTCCCTTTCTGCCCTCCATCTGCTAGTATAAATGGGAAGACAGATATTTTGTCTCTTGTTTAGTGATGAATTCTAAGGTGTAGAATGGTGCCTGGCATATAGTATGTGCTCAGTAAATATCTGTTGAGTTCAATTATTTACTTGATTTATTTTATCTTTTTTCCAGAGTTGCTCTGCAGACACTGGCAGAGTTGTAGCTATAGCCGGGATCGGAGTGAAGAAGAAATTTCTGTCTTGTGTTCTTGACACACATGGCAGAAGCAAATGAAAAGGCCCAAAGGGTGTCTTCCTTTCACTTTCAGTTCACAATACAGTAGCTGCCCTTGCCTATGAGTTCCGTCCAATATAAGCTTAAACTCCGGCCCCGGCAATGGGCTAGCTGAGGGATCCTGAAAGAGATACATCACTTCTCTGTCTCTTGGTTTGTTCATTTCTAAACTGAGGGATTGACTAGATCAGCAAACATTTACTGCGCTAAACAATTTTCACAAATTTTCCTATTTAGTAATGCAAAGCTGATAAGTATTATTATGTTCATTTTAAAGATGAAGAAACTGAGGCTCAGAGAAATTACAAAAAATGTACAAACTCATACAGTTTGTAAATGAGAAATCAAGATTTCAACCCGTTGGAGTTCAAATAAATGATCACAAAATGATTCCATGTGTGAAACCATCACTCTTGTCAAAAAATAGGAAAATCACAGAAGCACCCTCTCTTGAATCCCCTCTCAATCACTGTCCCTTCCATTGTCCCCAAAGGTAACCACACCTCAAATTCTAAAATCACAGGTTAGTTTTGCCTACTTTTGAAATTCATATAAATGGATTCCCAGTTATATTCTTTATGTCTGGCTCCTTTACCCAACGTAACATTTCTGAAATTCACTGGTTTTGTTGCATGTAAGCGTAGTTTGTCATTTGCTATGGCATGGTGCGAATACACCATCATGTTTATTCATTCCACTATTGATGAACATTTGGGTTGTTTCTAGTTCGAGGCTGTTATGACTAATGCTACTATTAACATTCTTTTGTAAATGATTTTGCTGTACATGTGTGTGCAATTCATCTGAGTACAGACCTATGAGTGAAATTGCTGGGTCCAAAGATATTTTCAGCTTTTCTACCAGCAGCTTTTCTACCAGCAATGTATGAAAGCTCCAGTTGCCTCACATCTTTACTACATTTGGTCTTGTCAGTCTTTTTCCATGTTTGTCTCATAGTGGATAGCGGTATTTACTTAGATCTGAATTTGCATTTCCATGATGACTAATGAGATTATGTACTTTTTCTTATATTTATCAGCCATTGGATATCTTCTTTTTGAAGTGGGTCAATTCTCTTACTCGTTTTTCCGTTGAGTTGTCTGTGTTTTTCCTATTGACTTGTAGAAATCTTTGTAAACTCTGGATATATTTGGTTTTATGCATTGTAGATATCTTTTCCCACTGCAATAATGTTGCTCTGTCACTTGGTTGGTGACATCAATGCTGGCACTAAGTTCAGTGCTCCAGTGATGGGCAGACACGTCGACTCAGTCTTTACCACTTTACCTTCTTTGGTGTATCATTACTAGGCTTGTTAAACTTCCCAGAGTAGTTCTGGGTTGATTTCCTCATGGTTCCTTTTTGTTTGGTAAAGTTCCCTCTACACATAGATGGACTTTACAGAGACCAAAAACCACTTCTTGGGATTCAAATTTCGGTAAGAGGAGTGAGGGAAAACTGGATTCAGTGACCTTGAAATAAAAAGTCCTTAGCTACAAATACCAGTCTATCCCTGACCCTCATTCCACTCAAGCCTCATCTTGGCCCTGACTCTCACTCTCTCTCTATTTCCCCCAATCCTCACCTATGGTAGGTGGTGATACCCTTTACCTAAGGGTAAATTGAGGGTAAGAATTATGGTATCAGAGATGAGGGGAGTGTCAGGGATAAGCGTGAGGGTTTTAACATATATTACATGAAAGTTTTAAAAAGTGAAAGAGTAATTATTTTCAGGTGTAATGTCAAATGTTTTGTTACTAAGTTTCAAAATGGTGATAGCAAGAACTCTGCAGGGTAGACCAGCACAGACATCATACGGAGATAGAAGGTGGCACAGTATAACACTGTGCTACTACCTCTAGAGCCTCTGTGACATCACTCCATAGTGACATCACTTCACAGGCCTTTATTGAATGTCCCCCGCCTGCACTTACATCCTTTGAAGTCCTGATCTATTCATATGGGTAAGTGTTCCTTATTTCATGGCGGTACAGATTGATACTTGATGTACTAGAATCTGTGTTACTTAAGGCAAAATCTCTCCCTGCCCATGCTCTGTAGAGGCAGCTGACATGATGAATGGGGAAAACATCTATCTTGGTCAGTCAAGGATAGAGCCTGGGAATGTTCCTAAGTAATGTCTACAATCCATTATCTCCATGTGGAAGCTGGTCAAGAACCCAAAATCATAGGAGGTTTTAAAGCTCAAATTACCCTAGATTGTCTGTTCAGGGGTTTTAAACCTGGGATTCTTGAATAGGTTTCTGTTGATTTATTCTTGATATTGTATGTAACATGTCTTCTGTACATGTGTGCACATCTGCACATTTGAGGAGAGGGTCCATAGCTTTCATAAACACTCATGGGGGTCAATGATTCCCCAACAGTTCCATCGACCTGGTCTAGTCCAACACCTTCCTTTGGGAAGATAAGGAAACTGACTTACATAAGGTCCCACATCTAGTGACTGGAGAAACCAGAATCAGACATCACTGTTCCTGACTCTGGACAGCCACTTCAGCCAGAACTAAACATTACAAGGTTAAATGTGGGCAATTGAATAGGGAGATATCTCATGGTCTCTTTTAATGGGATTAGACATTTTTTTCTATCAAAACTCACTTTCAGTAATAATAGGATTCAGTGGAAATACAGGATTCAATATATAAAACATTGCTTTATTGCCAAGGCATCCACTTATTTCGTAACTTGGGGGAAGCCTATAATCAGAGTTAGCGGTAGTTCTGATTAATAAGTTCTCTTTGCTCTCACACTGTGCTAGGGTTCCTTCAAGTGCTGGGCCATGTTTTATTAACATGGAAAGGCTGTTACAGCTCACCTCTTGTCACTTGAATCAGTTGCCTGCTGTCCTGGCACTCAGTTTTGTGTGGCAGAACCTTACTGAATATGCATGATAATGGGCCTTTTAAATCCTAAACAATAAACATTCGTTTTACCACTCCACCCAGCACAGAAATGCTCTCTAACCTCAAATCAGCCACAAATAAGACTTGGAAATCAATTCATTGTGCATCGGCTTCCTGCCTGGTTCATGCTTTGCGGCAAATAGTTCTAGTGAAATATCTGCAGAACATGTGTGTTTTTAATATACATAAGTTGAGGTATTGCATGTAACGGGGTCTTCAACTCTTTTGCGACCTTTCTGTTTTTATCCATAGAACAAATTCTATTGGGCAAAGCTGATTTTTATGCAGTGGTAACTAGGATTAGAAAGCCCTGAGATGGGTTTCAGGGGAGAAAAAACCTTCTGGTGATTTCCCCAAAGTTTAGGGAGAATTTTCAGCATCCCAAAGTCCTCTGGTTGTTTGAAAAATTAGGTTTTATGGAAAACCAATTTATTACATTTGTGCTTGTCAGATTCATTAGAATATTCTCATGCATAAGGTATCAGTTGTTGGAGAAGCCACTAGGAGTGTGTTTGGCCCTGAAGAGGACTATCTTGTCAGGTTGAGACAGAAGATCAAATGGTTATGTCTCAAATTCCCTTCTGCTGGTGTTTGAAGTTTAAGCCAGACTTTCTTCCTCATATCTCCTAGGCCAGGTTTCCATTATTTCATCACACTCTGGCACTCCTGGGAGCTTCCAACTTCTTAAAATTCATGAGAACTCAAGGCCAGGAGGGGCAAGTCTCAAATGTTTTCAGTTAGAGGACCACTCGGGGAGGCAAAGAGCTCTGTCCCGACTATTGCTATTGTAATCACTCCCCTTCTCCCTCCACAGCCCCAACAGTGCTGCAATTAATGGCAAAACTGATGCTGCTTCTGGGAATTTCAAGGAGCCGATGTGTGTTTTTCATTAGCATAAGAAAATTAGTAACTTATGCCAGAAACTGAAGCATTGGCTCTGTTAAACTATAATATAAACCTTAATATGCAGGAGACCAACCCGAAACAACATGGGTGACCTCTTGGACCACACTAAGATGGATGTCTGAGAGCAAGGATGTGTGGGGCAGCCACAGAAGATCAGCTAACCCTTTAATGATATTCATCCATTCTCTCCCCTTCTCTCTCTGCTCACATTTGTTTTCAGGCAAGGCTTTCCCTACTTTTAACCATACATTCTAATTAAAAATGGGGACTTCTACAAATTTACTGTACGCCTTTTGCTTTGTTTCCAGAGCGCCTCTTGAAAAAAAGAGAGACAGGGAGGGCAGGTACCAAGGCTATGTAGTGTAAGGTACCAGTTCTATTTTAAAATCACTGCAGTGTATTTGAGATAGAGGCCTGATATGATGATCTCCTGTATTGCAGTTACCATTAAACATAACGAGTAGGATCAATCTGCAAGCTTATCACTATTCTATGTTGTAAAATTGCCCAAGAGTAAAATGCAAATAGAAACAAGGAGTTTTAATGAGCCAATGTAATAAAAGATTCAGGCAACAGGAAGCTGGTGGCTGTGCTTTGGCTTCTTCCCAATGGGTGGCTTGAACCGGACTCCTTTGGAGCAAGTTGAGTGGGGTCAAGTCAGTTTCCAAATATAAATATCGAAGATTAGCTCTAGACAATATTATTCTTTTAGAAATTTTTTTAAATATTTTTGTTAACATGAGAAGTAATATTGAACTAACCTGCAAGATACAAAGAGAAGTAAAGTCAATTTCCTTACTTTTTCCTTTGTGAGTTAGTGTACATGTTTTGGGCATTTTACTTGACTATAACTGATAATGCTGGATTAAGAAAAAGGTCTTTTGGGACCATTAGAACCAGAATTCTCTTCTCTACCATCCTCACAATCAAGCTCTAATTGAGGTTTATGCTAAGTCATCATCATAAACTAAAGTTATTTTTTTGTTGTGGTGAGAACATTTAAGACCTATCTTAGAAAATTTCAAGTATGCAGTTAGTGTTGCTAACTATAGTCACCAGGCTGTACTTTAGCTCTCCAGAACTTATGCATTGTACATAACTGAAACTTTGAACCCTTTGACTAACTCCTCCCCATTCCCCATCCCCTGCAACCACCTCACCCCTGGCAACTACCACTCTGCTCTCTGCTTCTACAAAACTAAAGTTCTAATATAATATAAGTAATCTCCTAATGGTCAGACTGAAATGTATTTCAGCTGTCTCTTTGTAGAACAGCAAAAACCCTTTAGTTTTCTTCTGCTTGAATATCCATACTTCTTCCTGTATATAAATATTCTAAAAGTGGCAAAGATGGATCCCCATAAATGGAGCATTCAGGTTCATTCTAGCATATGATAAGTCTCCTTTTCTAATTCTTTACACAAGAACTGGTTGTGATTTTAGACTTGGAAAAATGGAAGAAGGAGGCCATGTAAGTCCGTTCACCTTAAGCTCTATCCCCAAGGGACTATGTTACTGGTGAAGGTTCTGTGAAGGGTAAGGATGGACATTCATTCGCGGAATGTCCTTTGCATGGCTCAGGGCCATTCTGGGTATTAAGTGTTTGTAAGGGCTTTGGAGTGCAGCATTCAACATCCCCAGTAGTGCGAGAGACACGCTATGGCTTTTTTGGGTGGGCTTGTCAAAGAATGCTCACATATTAGGCCTTTGGATTCCAGTGGGAAGCTCTCAGGGAAGCCAGGACATAAGCTGTCTTGCTTCATGGTGACAATTTAGCTTTTGGAAAAGAAGGGTGCTTTCTAGTATTATTCATGATTTTTTAACCTGGGTCCACATCTTGGAGCTTTGGGATTTTAACTATATCCTCTTTTTTGTTTAAACATTTTCTAGACAGAAACATTTGATTCAGTGAAGATACAGTCATCTTTGTGATTGTAGAGTCTCTGTCCAGTAAGAGTCTCAGTCTTGGTAAGAGTAGAGCCCAAAATGTGAAGGCAGCAAATAAAGTCACCGTTTTAGGAGGTACGGCTCATCTCACTACCACACTTGGGGAACAAATATATTGTTGAGGAGGATTTTCTTCTTGTTTTGAAGCCAAGAATATAATTATCACTTGATAATTTATGGGGTGCCAACTCTTTAATGGCATCTAGCAACCACTAAATTGCTTTAAGGAACAGAAACATTGTCACCTGCAATTCAGTAGAAGGTCACAGGCCATTGTCAAAACCAGCATGTTTGGGCTCCCTGCAGTGATTTGATAGCATTGTGTTCTGTCTATCAAGAGTCCAGACTTTGAACTTTTTCTAGAATCCCCACTTCCTGGGAACATGGTGCTGAAGATCTAATATGAATTGGAAAGTTTGAATGAAACCAAAGAGTGGCTTTTGTTTCACAGAGATGCCCTTTAAAGCTCCGGAGGACCCAAACCAACTGGCTTTCCATACATGTTCATCTGACCTCACTGCTCTCACAATTCTGATGAACAATCTCCTGTTTATAACTCTTGATTAAAAAAATTCCTTTTGTACTACGATCTTTCAACTTTATCAATATGCCAGAAACTTCAAAAATGTTAAATACACATTTCACCTGCTGAAAAAGTACATATTTTGGGGGAGGTGAAAGCATATCTAATACGTATGAAAGAAGAAGAAAAATCCTTGTAATACTAAAACCATCAAGTATCTGCCCAAAAACTCCTTGAAATTTAGATTGGAATGTAATTTCACAGGGCTAAGGTGGAGAGGTAAAGAAAGTTTGACGCACCCATGAGCGGCAGCTGTCACTCTTTTAGCTTCTTTCACCTTCTCTTTTGAGTCAGATTTCCCTGATGACCCTGTTCTCTAAGAACCTCTCAATTGTTCCCTCAAAATGCACTACTGAAAGTTGTAAGGTACACAGCACACAGATAAAGAGTCACACGTTTCCTAAAATGTTGACAGGCCTCTGCAATATTCATCATTAGAGATAGTTACTGCTGAAGTTAAAGTACAATACTGAGATTGATAAAGATGGAAAGAGATGGGGGAAAAGAGACTGAGCTAGCTCATGTAACAGCTGCAACCATTCCCAAATGTTTTTCTGCATAATCATGCAAGAAATTCATCATGCATTTCCTATTAAATATT